GGGGCCCAGCAGGGAGGTGGCTGTTCTGGTTCCTACTTAGGAAGATGGAGGCAAAGAAATCATTAAACATGTTAGCTTTGTCGTCTGGTGTGACACCCAAGTTTCCCAACTCGTCCTGCAAGGGCCCCATATTACCTGGGACCTTCTTTTTACCCCGTATGTATTTGCATGTCTGTACCTAGTCTATATGGCCCTGTACATGCTCACTTGAAAACAATCTGGGACAAGTGTGTAGTAGATGCATATGGGTTATACTCATGCTTATATTTTTTTGAGACTTCAGTGAGTAGAAGGAAACACTTTAATATATATGCCTGATTCTGCTTCATTTAGGGATGGATCTGGGGGTGGGGAGTGCTGCCAGGGTGCATTTGCACCCCACTTTGATTTCCACTCTACCCAAAGTTTAAAACCAACTGCCTGGGAGGGGCAGTGGGATTTCTATTCAGGTAGTAGTGAGGGAGTCCACTGACTTCACAGTTCATTATCATTTACCTGGTTCCTGTTAATTTCTCTTCACTTCACTGGTGTTAATGACCCTCCTTCCTTTTTAATAGTCCTGATGTTCCACTTTTCAAACTATCCTTTCTTCTACAATTTTGTCCTCTATTAGTTGTTCCTGGTAATGTCTCTCTTCTATTTCACAGCCCTGAAGACTGTTTTTAGCTCAAGCTAAAAACCTTAACTCAGGCATGTTAATATTAACTCACATATAGAAATGACTGAAGTACTAAAGACACTGTCAAGATGCTCAAGAAGACTAGATTTTGTTTTACACATCTGAATAAGAAATGTAGAATTGTATTAGATGAACAAGAAGATTGAGGGGAGGTTAACAAAACACAGTTTACCTTCTCATTTCCATTTCCATGTGCTGTGGGTTGTGGAGCTGAGGGTGGGGAGGGGAACAGAAAAATATCCATGAAATTTCTACTATGTGGTATGTCCAGGCAGGTGGGTAAGGATGTGTACAGCTTTGATTCTGTCCCTGACATGCCCACGAGCACTGCTGAGCCTGCACAAGTAAGGGATCATGTGTTCCAGACAAGGGTGGTAAGACTGAGTTGGGGGAAGAGAGGATGATTTGAGGATCCTGACCAAAATCTAAAGCGCTCTGACTGATTGCTGTTGTAATTTATAGTTTTGCCTGGATCTATAAGTGTTGTGTTTTCAAGAGGAGTAAAGTATGCATGTTTGGAAATCTCCTTGAAGATTGTTACCTTTGTAGAAGCAGAAGCAGGAAACTACTGGGACTAGCAGCTTGATTGTACTTTGGTAGCATACAGCAGATACTGGGGAGGCTGGGAAGAGCTGGTGCAGGTTCCCATTGTTCTAGGCCATAAACTGCAGGCTTCCCACCTTTCAGAGGATTATCAGGGATGACATCTGTCCCTGGACATGTGTCTAGAGAGCCAGAGTGTAGAG